ATCTATTTTTTAACGTTGTACGTATGTATTTGAAATGAACATAAGAGATGTATAATTGTTCCGCTTACAATAGCTCAGCAATTAATAGACCATCTGTCCTGAAACTTGGCCTATCGTTTAGCACTTAAAGGACGAATCATTGTGTCACGGTTGGAATACCACTGCACGTGCGCACGTGCATGAGCATGAGCTGTTTATATATCCCAAGAATGGCCAGACTGATTGCCGTTGAATGATAAGCATTCAAAGCTGGTGTGACATAAGAGTAAATGAATGACGGCTGGTTAAACCAGCAGCGGGCCCCACTTTGCACGTAAACACGCATAAAGCCCAGTACTGCCCTCATTTGCATCCCAAATAGTGTATTTGGTTTGATACTTTGATCATTTATCATGCATCACAGAATGCCTTTTTGATCTGTTGGTTTCATCTCATTTTAACAAACCACCTTATATCATTTTACCCACACATGCTAACGGAAAGCCTCTAGCTGACAAGGCCGTTACAAATTTAGCAGAACAAATCGGGAGATTATCGGTGAATGTAGTTGCGGACTATTTTAGTGGCGCATATCTGTTCAACCTTGTCATAGCGCAATTATGTTTGATGGATTTCCACATTTGTTCGCAATATCACTAGTTGTGTCTGCCTTTCGCATGATTTGCAACTATCGTAAACCAATTGTCAGACGATGTCATTTATTACGGGGCACTACAATGCCAGATTTTCTTGATGTTTCACATCGCTGCGTCTTCCGACCCTTTCGAAGCGTAGACAGCGGCTTAGTCATGTTCTCGCTATAACTCTTCGAAATATGTGCCGCAAAATGAAGTTAATTGATATGTGTGTTGAAAGATTTCAGACAATTCATGATTTCCTTCTTTGCTGAAGAGCGACACAGCATCAGTCACTGCGCGCAGTGGCTGAAACTGGCTTAGGTTCATCCAACCCATGGTCGTGGTCCCTTTCAGTTTCCAGTTTCACTTCCCTTTCACAATCCAGTCACCTTCCCCTCCGTTCCCCAGTCACAGCATTTCCACTCTCAGCCTACAAGATACCATCCCCAATTCCCAGACCCCTCAGACCCCTTCCCCGACCGCAACCCCTCAGACCTCAGTCTCGTCCCTCAAACTCCCCCTCGAGCCCGCGCTGACCGCTGCGAACCGTCTCCCAGGGGACGGGCCGACCGGCCGGCCGGTGTCGTCTCCGCGGTGAAACACGAGCCCCGCTGACAGAGAGTGAATTAATCCGGCCGCTTCCGATCGTCCCGAGACTTATTTGAGAGCAGCGATATCAATTGTAACGACGGCGAACCACTTCTGCGGCCCATTGTCATCCAACGGCGATGGATGAAACAAGCGGAAAATGTCATCGACATGGTGCGCAATATTGTTCATTGAGAGATGAGACCAAATGTTATACCTGAACTCGGACGTTTTCTTTTGTAGTCACTTTGCAACAAGTGCAAATGCATGTGCATTAATCTATTTGAACAGTGAAAACGTGTATTGAATAGTGCGCAATGCGCAATCTGATTTAATACGAGATAGCTAGTTATATGCGAAACCCTTTTTCTTTAACTTGATAAATTGGATACGCACAGCTGAGCGATTCAAAGCGACAGCTGGTCGTTGACATGGGCAGCATCCCTACTGATTGTGCCCCTGCATTGATGAACTCCGGCCTCTCTCAGTGTCCATTCGAGAGACACTGCACATGACACGTAGTCAATAGCTGTGGTATAGTGGGTCAGGACCTTTCATACTAATTGGCGGCGAATGCGTCGGGTCTTTGATGTGATACCAGCGCAGCCAAAATTAGCCACAGCCCACTCCAGCCGCCCCCGACGTCAAGACACCATTCATCTTTCTTACAAAGCACCGCGAGAGATTCGTAACCACGCAATGGTGTTTATACTTGTTCGGCTCTTTCCATAACACACCATTCCTGCAGTGCCGACGTCCCAAGAACGCTGTGAAACTCGAGCCCCTGAGAGCACTTATCGCACAGAGAAGGCGGCACCCTAGGGTAGGGTGGTATCAGAAGAAACCACTATTGTGCCAGAGATTATCGGACAGCGAGAAATCATAGGTGCCTGCGATCATTGACCCCAACAATGATAAAATATTTCATGTTGAGGTCAACATTGACTTCCCGTAAGAATAGGTTAGTGAACAAAAACAAAGCTTTCCAAGTGTTTGAGCAATAAAAAATATATTCACTCCGGGAGCGGCTGATATCTTTTTATCGTCCTGAAGGTTGAAGAACCTATGTAGAATACAATTGCAAGGTCATTTGCAAACTTACATGTATGCTTGCGTGATTGTTTCTACGGAGCTGATGATGCGTGTTTTAACGGTGTGGCGTTTGTTGAGGGCAGGCGCTGCAGGCTTGAGTGCTTCCCGGCTGTTAGTGCCTGATCGGTAACTGTGCACACTGCACAGTTTGGCAACTACGGGTTATATCATCCTCACCGGCGCACTATGACACGACAATGAGCAATTATAGAGATACAGGAAAGTGTCTGGTAGGACAATGAGATCTGCAATGTAAATGTGTGCTAACGCTTAGCTAGCTTCCTGAGATAATGAGCAAAATATTCAGAGAATGAGCTTAGTACGTTTTGATGAGACTCTACAGCTCTTCATGAAAAATCATAAGTTCACAAAAAGTTAGGCAGCTCTGATTGATGGCACATTGTGATCATCCCAAAAACTACAAGGAAATAACAAATACAGAGTTTTGTGCTCTTGGTGCCATTCCCGGTTTTGCCATAAACAGGGACCTTAAATGGGTAAAAAGGAGGGTTTTTACCCGGCCTCAGAATAAAATAAAGTTAGTTGCAACAATTCACAGCTTATCTGATCAGTTCGCTTGATAAATTGAGCGCATCTTTGTTGAGTTTATAAACGGCATTGCATTGCACATCGCACCAACATCTTCCCATCATACACCATCTTAGTACCAGTTTATGATAGCAATCACCACTGCAACTCTTAAATAGCACTTATCACAACAGCACAATCCGTATCACCATTAGCAGAGGACCCGTCCATCACCGACTTCACGTCGGCGTCTGAAACCCGTCCGTCCATTCGTCCGTCCGTCGAGCACCCGTGACGGTCCCCGTGTCTTGCCAGGCGTGCAGTCTCAGAGCTGAGAGACCGACCGCGAGTCAGAGCGAGTGAGAAGGCTGCCGACCCTGCACGCCTGAGTGCAAACGCCCTACGCTGGCCGCAGTGCCGCCAGTGTCGCCCGAGTGTCGCCTGAGTGTCGCTGGACGGTCGCCCTAGTGTCGCTCTACTGTCGCGAGTCGCCGACTGTCCTCATGCTCTACACGACGTGGGACATCTGCCGCCACCGGCGACCGACCGGCCCATGCCCCCTCCAGCGACAAACTCGATGGGGACAGGAGGGGACCGCTATTCCGCTCGGGCCATCTGTGATTCGTCGTTTGGAAACAAGAGGACGGCTGGAGGGGTGGGGTCCGCGGGACTGATATTGTCCAACGCCACTGAGGTGCGGCAGCTGCAGCTGGTATAGTGAGAGCTGTTCATGTCAATGGATGGGTATTCCACGGCTTATGTGATTAGCTGGAGGGAGAGAAATGAGCAAGGGGTGCTTGCTGTCACGTCCGTTTATGCTCAAAATGCATTCACCAGGACTCCAATGGAACTCAATAAAGCATATCGAACTAAAATAAAGCTTTACGCCGTTATGTTGACATTTGACAATGCATTACGCAACAAACATGCAGATGGAATCTCGAGGATGGCAACGGAAGCAAGCGAGGAGGCAAATATATGTAAACCAACGCACAAAATGAACAAAGGACCAAAGCGCGTTGCAGTGTTTTTCACATTTCACTCCGCTTAACCTTATAAACTAGCTTTTTTGCATGCGATCTGGCTATCAATAGCTATCAAATTGTGTAGACTATTTGCATATTCTTTGCATTATTTTTGAACCCACTTCCAGTAGGTATTAGAAGTTAAAAACTTATTCTAAATGGTAAAGTAATTTGTTACTTTAAGCTGATGACAAACGTTTAGATCCATAACAGCTATTTAGTTAGCTAAATTAACAGCGAAATCGCGAAAAGCAGCATTGTACCATCAAAAGATGGGCAAACACCGTTCACTGTTATCTGATAAGAGCACACCGCATTGTCCCCAATCGCGGTTTATCGCAATAAACGGCGGTTAATCCCTCCCGGCCTGCCGGGACTGCCGGGGGGTCGGAGCCGGCGCCGGGGCGGCCCAATCTCATTGTGGGGCCCTGCCCCGGAGCTCGGGGGCCACCCTGAGCTCTGTCAGACACAGGGCACAGGGGCGTTCCCTCGGGGAGGGAGGGGAAGGGCAGGGCCGATTTTCCCGACGCAGTCTGTTGACGGCCACGCCGGTTGGCTCGATCTCACATGATGGAGAATTTTCCACTAGACAGAGTCCCGACAGACCTTTGTTTGGCTTCCATTTGTTTGTTTGCGTTCGAAATATCGTGTGGTCGCAGTGTTTTAAGAGACAGGGAATTGATTAAATACATAGACTGGGCTTATCTCGGCTAAGTTGACGGCAAATAAAGAGCTTAAGCGGGATTCGCTTGCGGGGATAACTGAATTAAAGTGCTTAGATCTCTGAACTGTTGAGCATTTGTATGTAAATGACTATTGAAAGAATGTCATCCGTATTATTCTCTTCAACGCAGCACTAAAAACACCTTTTGAATAGAGTTATGCGAAAGGAAGCTGATATTCTGTTTCCGAAAAAGGAATGACATTGTCGTTCTGATTTACAGAATGGCAATTCTGACAACAGATGATATAGTTCTGATAGAGTTTGTAGGTATTGTCAAATCTTCTTGATATTCAACATAGTTTCGACAGCAACAACACGCAGTAATTACCCTCAAATGTTAATAGAGTAGTCTTTACTGTTTCATCCAGCCTCTCTACCCATACGTCCCTTTCTCTACTTCATCCTTCCAACCCGCCCGAGTCTCACCTGCCGAGGACGCTATAGGCGACAGTCGCTTCTGTCGGGTCACCGGCGGGGTGGTCTTATTCACTTTTTTTGTGTGTTGCTGGGGTGTAGAAACCCAGTGTTGACCGTTGTTTTATCTTGCAAAGCTGAGTTTTCGGCTAAAAAGCTCCGCCGTGGGTTTTCGTGGCTGACACTGCTATGGTCCAGCTCAATACCGGTTCACTTGAGATTTGTCGGCCGGTTCTAGTTCAGCTCCGAGTGAGCTCCAGTTCAGCTCTGAGCCAACCCAATTGAACCCAGATCCAGTTGCAGTTCAGCTCCAGGCCAACTCAAGCGCAACCCACTTCCAGCTCCAGTTCGGCCGAAAGACGACTCCAGCTCAGGTCCAGTTCCGCTTCGAGTCAACTGCGGCGCCAACCAGATCTAGCTCCAGTACCTTTCAGCACCAGCTCAAGCTCAGTCAGCGCCAGCTCCCCGCTGTCAGACCTTCCTCTCCCGTCCCGTCCGACCACCGCCTGGCCGGTCAGTGCCGCTCCCGTCCCCCGCCGCCGCCGGCCGCTGTCCGCCGCCGCCTCCCCCGCCGCGCACTGCCGCACGCGCCATTGAAAGCGGCGCCCCAGGCCGCGCTCTACCGTTTACCGCGCCCACCACCAGGGGGCAGGCAGGTGGCGGTTGGAGGGGGCAAGGGGCCACGGTGGGGTGCTGGCCTCAGACCTGCTGGATGTTATAGGTATTGCCGCTTGTCAAAATGTTTACCTAAAACTCACGATCAGTCTGTCAATGAGAGCTTATTTCACAAACTGTAAGACGTGCCGCATTGATAAGTGTTGGGACATTTTTTCTGGCTACCGACACCCTGCATTTTAGTTTTATATGTTGATGCATGTTTCTACAGCATGCTGCGCAAAAAGATCCATATCAAGCAGACCTGGCCAGTAAAAGTGTGTGTGGTAACGCTACTATTGAAAGAGTCTTAGCCCAATAACCGGAGATAACCGCTCTAATAAGAGCGTACCTACCCCCCCCCCTTCCCTACAGTGGGGACCACTCGAGAGGCAGGACTGCCTGTCCCCCGGATGTCCATATCCCACCGGGATGAGCTCAGTAGCCAGTGCTACGACTTACCAGTCGAGAGTCGACCCTCGATGTCCCCTGCTTATCCTCTCATCTCATGGTCTTGCAATGATACCCTTCGAAGTTTGAACGCAGGGAATCGGCCCATTAAAATAAACAATAAAAAAGTTTGATGGGAAAGTGCTAAAAGTTAAAACCATGGACAGGACATTCAAGAGCTAGAAATAAACATGCCTAATTATTTCTATATAGATAATGCACCTGCTGTTGAAATTGATAGTTATATTCATGTCCATTGTCCCGTTATTTTTCTCGCACTGGAAAACGGCATCGATAAATTTAAAGGACTGCGCCAGATCATTCGCCTTGCTTAATTTTCTATCCCTGTGGACGATGCCGCTTCAATTGGGATCCCTTGCACCGTTCTTTGCATTTATCTCATTCCATCGTGTCTGAGCTACAGCCCCATTTAGTCGCGCCCCAATCCAGTTATTGAGCAGGGCACAGTCCCAGCAAGGTCGGTCACACATTTCAGAGCGCTACCAATTGTCACCGACCAATAAATCACTTTCTTTGACGCCTCAACAAGCCACCGGATGATCATTTGCCGGGCTATATTCTCACCGCTCTGCAGCGTACGATATTGTGCACGGTGCACTTACTCAATGAGGCACCGTGCACACGCACGCTGCACCCACCGCTGGGTGTGCACAGTGCACTGTGCAGCGTGCACATTCAACAGAGTCGTGACGTCACGTTTTACGGTGCCTGCCAGTTTCCACGTATAGAAGAGCAAACGTTGAACTAGTTGAGCATGTGCATGTCTTTATACATAAGTGGATGGAGCGCATTTATCTACTTGCCTACTGCCTCTATCTGTTATCTAGAGTTCCTGCTTTTTGTGCTCATTTGCATGCATCAAAAGTCCACTTTTTGCGCTAATACCATACGGGCGCCAAAAGACTTGTAACACTAGCACCGGTAATCGCTCCAAGCCAAGACGCCGTGACTGAATACCGCTAACGACGCTTTCATGGGCAGCTCACTAGCCTGGGTCAGGACTGGCGTGCTGTAGTCGACTTTCTGTAGGTGCAGCCTAAGTGCCCCACCCTGCATCCGAGCGCTGCAGCCGTCGCTGCATGTTGCAGTAGGCAGCATCTTCTCAAAGCTGGGGGATGGGGTGGTAGGCGGAAGCTCTCAAAGCTTTGAGTGTATCGTGATGTGATCTAACCGTTTAACGCTACCACTTCTATCACCACTTCTTTTTCTTCTAAATCTACATGTCTCACCACTTCTCCCAAGCCACCTTTTTACCTAGTTATTTGCCACTCTTAATGATTGTTATGCCACCAGCAGATTGCTTTTGTTTCATCAGTAGCATGATGAGATTTAATCGATTCAATTTTTTGCTATTTATAAAATCACTTATCTTTTCACGCTCGTATGCCTCCTGCACTTCAGGACAGTCTGCAGTCCTTATTATTTTAATTAGACAAATTGATTCATGTATAGGTAATGCAATTTAAAACACCATAACAACACAACGTTTCGTTTTAGTTGCTTTCTCAATGGTGACATTTATCTTGCAAAATATATGAATGAATAAGTCTGCACTCTGCACGTTTTCACATCACACCGTGACTCCGACTAATGGTGGGATGTGCATTGTGCAGTGTGTCCACTAACGACTTCAAGGTTTATGGAAATGACCAACCGGAGTCAGCCGTGCGTACATGCGTGTGTATGACCGTATATTTGGTGTCGGTTGTCATGGCGCCGACTCAACAGATTCAGGATCCGCTTCGATGCTCTGTGAACGTGTTTCAGAATAGTGGATATTTCGTTTTGAACTCATGACTTGCTAGGGGAAGGACGCATATTTTGTTATTTCTGTTGCGCTCTGTATTTCTGTTATATTCTGCTTGGTGACCATTCCTAAATATTCATCACGCACATTTCATAAAAAAAAAATCCTGATCAGGTCAGGCCCGGTCACCAGAGCCGGTTTGTTGACCCCACCTCAGAAAAAGTTGCAATCACGTAAGAGTTAGAGTTTTTCACGGAGCGGTTCCCTCTCTACAGGTCTTCATTACAGTACCTACCAGTGTGTGTAATTTGTATACCTCAGAATTCTTATATCTGTGACCTGAGGTCATGTCAGAGTCGCGATCTTCACATTACAAGCCCATGGGGAAATATTGAAAAGTGTCCTGCTTCGAGTAAACGAGTCAAAACCACCCAGTTCTTCCAGGATTATGACAGATTCTCTGATCTGTAATGACCCAGGTGCCATTTACTGCAGGGGCACCGGGAAGGGTCATCTGAGGTCATGTGAGGTCATCAATAGTTTTAATTTAGCTGAGTAAATCACGATATGATGGTGCTTGAGACTTGTAAATGGTACCAAACTGTTTGCCTGGTCATGACGCGTTGATTGGTAGGTATCAAGCGTGGCCTTCTTGGATCATGTTATGACCTTCCTAGGTCAAATTTTGAAGTTGAACTATCAAGGTCATCATCAAGTATGATGACCTTGATAGATCGCTCTTAGATGTTCTCATTGTCAATCGTCTTAACGTAGCAACGCCGCGCCGCAATAAACATTGTGATTTTAGCCCACATCGCATCGTTAGTTGTAGTCTCAGTGTGCCGCGCCGTCCACGATCGCACACTGTAGTGTCGCGGTCACGCCCACTCGCTAGGATAGACTCGGGTGCGTTTCTGCTCGATTTACAGTGCTGTGACTGGAGTGACGTTTTTTACATCCGAGACGGTCGATGGGAAGTGGCGAGCTTTTTTATCACTCTACATACCTGTTCTGGACAAGCACGCGCCGATACGGAGCCGCAAGGTTCACAACCCATCTGCCCCGCCGGTCACGGCCGCCACTAAGGACTTGATGGCGAGCCGCCGCGGCGCTCTGCGCACCCTCGGCCGTGACTCGAGCGAATACCGCGATCTGAACCGATCTGTCCGGTCCGCCATCCGCCGCGACACGCGCCTGGCCATAGAGTCCCGTATCAGGGAGCAGGGACCCCACACAGTGTGGCGCAACATTCGGAGTGTTGTTGCTGGCCGGAAGCGAGATGTCACCTCACCACAGCTATCACCGAGCGCGCTGAATGAGTATTTCGTGTCTGTCGGGCCGAGGGTGGCGGCGGGGGTGGCCGGTGCGGCCGAGCACGCGGCAGACCTGCCCTGCCGCCTGCCGCGTGTGGGGGCCTGCGGCTTCTCAGTCTCTCCCATCGACCTCGACACGCTGACGATCGCGCTGTACAGCATGAGGAACTCGCCTGCGTGCGGATCTGATGGTTTGTGTGCTCGTGCTCTGAAGGCTGGCTTCCCCGCCGTCGGCTATGTCATCCTACATATCATTAACGCATGTCTCACCCAATCCGACTACCCTCCAACCTGGAAACATTCGCTCATTCACCCCATCTTCAAGACCGGCGACCCATCCGATCCTTCCAACTTCCGTCCTATTTCCATCATCCCCACCATCGCCAAACTAGTAGAGCGCGTTGTCCAGCGGCAGCTTTACCATTACCTATCCTCCAACCACCTCCTATCCCCCAGCCAGCACGGTTTCCGTCCGCGCCATTCGACGGAAACCGCGCTGGCTACCGTAACCGACCAAATCCTCACAGCTGCCGACGGCGGGGAGATCACCCTCTTATGTCTTATTGACCTGAGCAAGTGTTCTGATATTATCGACCATGACATTTTACTTCGGAAACTCGAGCTGCACGGTGTGGATGTTCAGTGGTTTAAAGCTTACCTGACAGGCCATACCCAGAGTGTGTCACTCAGAGACCACACTGGAGCTGCCAGCGTCTCCCCGCCGATGCCGAACTCGATGGGGGTTTTCCAGGGGTCTGCCCTGGGCCCCCTCTTGTTTACCGTGTTTGCAAATGACATGTCACTGTTCGCTGCGGGTGCAGGTGTCGTGCAGTACGCTGATGACACCCAGGTGATTGTCTCTGGCAAAAAGAACGAACTTTCGGCTGTTATTCATAGCATGGAAAACTCATTGACTGCTTTGGATCAGTGGTTCTGCGCAAACGCCCTTAAAGTAAACGCAAACAAAACACAGCTCATCACTCTCGGAACAGGTCAAAATTTGCGCGGCCTTCCAGACATCAAAATTGCCTTCCGCAACACTGACCTCGTACCTTGCCGCGAGGTAAAAAATCTTGGCGTTATTTTCGACCAGAAATTATCATGGGACAGTCACGTGGGTGTCGTCGGCAGGCGATGCAGCGGTACTCTTGTCGCGCTGTCACATGTCCGTCACGTCCTGCCTGTCGGTGTCATCAAGACACTTGTAGCCGCCTTGGTTCTCTCGCAGGTCACATACTGCCTTTCCGTCTACGGCAACGGCACTAAGAAAAACATTGACAGAATTCAAAAGGTACTGAACTTTGCTGCACGATTCATTTTTGGAAAGAGAAAATTTGATCATGTTAGTGACCTGCGCGGGAAACTTGGCTGGCTGCCCGCTCAGCACATGGCCGACCACCGTACACTGTGTCTGGCGCACAAGGTGATTGCTGGTGGTGAGCCCGAGTCACTGGCGGCTGCATTCGTGTGCAACGGTGACCGGCGGTCCCGGCGCACGAGGCAGGACGGGCAGCTCTACGTGCCGAGGTCCAACACCGAGACCGGCAAGAGACGCTTTTGCTCGAGGGCACCTGCCCTCTACAACCGGCTGTCGAGTGACCTGACACCGCTTAGCCAGCAGCGTTTTTCACGTACCGTGAAGAGACGCCTGCTGGATCTCCACCGAACGTGACCGTTCCGACAGCCGTGGCCGCCACAGCACAGGGGTAGCCCTGTGTACCGTGTATGAGTGCGTGTGTGTGTGTGTGTGTGTGTGTGTGTAGGTGTGTAGGTGTGTGTGTGTGTGTGTGTGTGTGTGTGTGTGTGTGTGTGTGTGTGTGTGTGTGTGTGTGTGTGTTTTTTTTTTATCCATGACAGCGACCATGTTTGACTCGGAGCTTAATAGCCACACTTTGAGTGGACCGCTCTACGATGGCAAATACAATACAATAAGTACCTGTTTCGAACACTATCTTTGATGACCTCTAGTGACCTCAATATTGACCTTACCCTAAAAAGATATTTATAAAAGTTGTAGGGCTTTCAACAAACTATCAAACGCCGTTTACCGTTTGTCGCTCCGATTCGTGATTTTCGAGGTCTAGGGGGGGGGGGGTCGAAAAGGATTCCGAACCTTTCAGAGCCCGCCCGGAATAGGGTTAACTGGTGACCCTGGCTCTGGAACAGCCACACATGGGTGGAAAGATTAATTGACGACTGACGTTAAATAAATAAATAATAAATACCTAAATAAATAAATAAATAAACAAATAAATAAATTCAAACGATTTTCGTACTCTCAGGCCACCAAACCGAAGCTGAGCTTTCGCCAGCATTTACAATTTGGAATGAGTCTGGACACGACCGCCGACGCCCTATATGTAGGGTAGCCCGGGGCAAGACGCCCCAGATAATTTATTTTGCTACATAAATTTTGTCCCACATCACCTGGAAGGCCAAATTTGTGCTCAATGCGTTCTTTGGACATTTTACTTTAAAGTGCACCCCTCAAATTCATTCACTTATGATCGGACTCCAAGCTAGGAAGTGATTTGTGAAGCAACTGCAAATGGGGCATTTTGCCCCAACCCCAGGGCAAAACGCCCCACGGCCTGGGGCAAGTAGCCCCATACTTTAGATTACAGATTTAACTTGGTAGTTGGCTAAATCTTATATGAGAGGTCTGTTAGACCTCTGGAGGCACGGCGCTGAAGTTAGCACCTTCCATCCTGTCAGGTGTTCAGCTATGACACTATTGTATGAGCAGGTTTTTCACCTGCCTCATAAGACCAAATAATAAATTATTGCAATGCAAATGTCTACAGAATACTTTCTTTCCCATCCAGTTGCTGGGAAAAATACACATAAAGGCATAGAAACTTACTGTTCGCCAGCTACCGAACATTAGAAAGTGGGTAGCCCGAACAACACATGAGGTAAAACGCCCCATGGGGCATTTTGCCCCGTGACCTACTGGGGCGTTTTACCCCATCACGTAGTTCGATCAGAGAACAAAGCTTTGCACTCCAGCAAGACATAATTTAACACGAACCAACCCGGCATGATAAGCGTTAGATAACAGTTGTTCAAAATACATAAAAGTCGTTAACCTGATATGGACCATAAAGGAACGCTATGATGCATAATCTGACAACAAAACATAAAAATCACTCAAAAAACACATTTTTGGCTATATCTCCCGAAAGAGTCATCACAATTTCTTTCCAGTCTGCTCCAGTGGCGGATCCAGGATTTTCACTGGGGAGGGGCTGCAGGTCATAATTGGGCGCCACGCCCCGGATGGGCGCCATAGTCGCATCGTATTGGCGCTGAAATATTGGCGCCCAGTGGCCCTGACAAGAGGCGCCCAGGATCAGTATGTACAGTGACACCACACGATTGGAAATATCGGTGCGGAGCGTACTGAAACGACGTTATTCGACTGATTTTTGCATCCTAGTCCTAGTATGTGGCACTCCGATGAGTTGCGAATTGAAAATTGCGCAGTGGCGCCAGTTTTCCTTGGGTGGGGGCTGCCAGCCCCCGCAGCCCCCCCCCCCCTGGATCCGCCACTGGTCTGCTCATATAATGATCATGTAGTGCACGTTTTATAGAAGAGAGGATGTTTCCCCAGAACTCTGCCAGCTCCGAGAAACATCGGTGAGGCGTTTTACCTCGGCGGGGCGACTTGCCCCGGTCTACCCTAGGTGTTCACAAATGCTGACCGACGCATTCCACCGTTGTAGTCTCCGCACACCGACTACCGCGTCGCCTGCACTCAGAGCTCATAAGCTGCAGTGTACTCTGCTGCCGCTGGATGTCGCTACTGTGGGGCCGGACAGTCCGCCGTCTGATCGTGACTGGAGCGGCGGGCGGCGAGCGGCGGGCGGCGGTACCGTGCTATTCCAGTCGTGCGCTGGTGCCGCGAGCGGAGGGTGGGGTGTGCTGGACCGCGCGACGCTGACTTTGCCGCCGTCGCCGCCGGTTTTGAGTGCACGAACCATCACATTCCATCGGAGCTGGTCCGCCAACCAGACTCGGCGACAGTCAAGTAAGTCGGACGAAATCACGTCATCCAGCGATTCGGCTGACGTCAACACTGCTCGCGAGGAAGGTAGACCGTTTTTATTCCCCGTCCGTAAACCTCACCTAATTCATACATTTTCTCACGAATCACGAAAAATACGCGGAATGTTTCCACGTATCCGCCCCCATTTTTACACTCGACCATTCTATAGCCGGGGATTATGTTTTCGCGGCCGTCATCGGTGTCGGCGGCGGCGCCGCGCCGGTGCCACATTGGGTGCAGGTGTGATTCCGGGCCGATGGTATCGTCGTGTGGCCGTCGTGCAGGCCGCCGCTCCGGGAGGGCGGTCTGCACGCGATCGGCGATCCTACCGGCCCGGCCCGCCGCCGGCAGGAAGCATCCTTTATAGCGCACAGCGCTGGTCGGTGGTGCTCCTCCGAGCTATTTTATCCACGGAGACGGGCCCCAGTGGTCCCTGAGACACTGGCTCGTCCTCGCCCTCCATCTGCCCCCGTGCGTCACTTGTCGCGGCCGCCCGTCCGTCCGTTTTTTAGCTGTCCGTTTCCTGTGACACCGTCCCCGCCCCCTGGTCCGCGTCACCGGCTCCTCAGCCCCGCCCCGTCACCCGGGGTTGGCGGTTTGACGCTCCACCGCCCCCATACTGCCTACCGGACGGACCTCGTGCGGCTGAGTCGCCTTCCGGTGTCGGCATTGTGGGAGGCGGGCGGTTCCCACACACATCAAGGCCGGCCCAGAACAGGTGTGGTGACCGTCCGGGACCCCGGCCACCGATACCGGGAGCACGCCGCTCGACCGCCGGTCATGCATGAGCGCGGTCGGTTCTGGACCCGAGCGGGCACAGAGCTGCCGCCGTGCGCCGTCGGGTCTGGCCTCTGCGGAGTGTGGTGCGGCTGACCTCTGCCGAACCTGACGCCGCTGACCTCTGACGACCTGGAGGTCAGACAACGCGACCTTTGTCTGATCGACGATGATCAGTGGTGTCTGACCTGGGATGGGAATGACCCGTGTCTGGCCTGAGTTATCTTCATGACATGCTCACGACTCCCGTATGGTTCGCCTCAGCCAGGCATATCTTTATCCTGATGATGAGCAGCAAGCTCTCCGTGTTATTATAGCTCTCCGTTATCAAGCTCTCCGTGTTATTACAGCGCCGCGTATAAATATTATGAACCCGTAAGCTTTGATTCGCATTACACGCGCCCCATTCCTGAGTTTGATTACGACCTGATCATTGATCTAAAAACGTTACCCGCTGACCCGGTCACGGTCTCGACCCGATCTCATCCACAGCCATCCTCCCCGCCGATCCAAACGACCATCCGAGGACTAGCGGTGTATGCAGACACATTTGTCTTAGCGGAGGATCGTTGACCTCTGACCGGAACTCTGTGTGGCTGGTGAAGTCTGCGGGGAGAGACTCCACTCTGCTCTGTGTAAACTCGCTCGAGTCTCACCGGAGCTGCCTGTCGTCGATGGGAGCCGCAAAAAACAGCGAGTGAAATGAGAAATCAGCGCGCCGTGTTTACACAATCCGCTGTGTTACGACACATGTGTGGTCCCATTCTCACGAATTCATGAGCCAGTCCGACTACTCTTACCGTCGAGCTCTTTACACACTCGACACCATCGACAGACAAAGCGGCAGTGTTCATTCAACACAGAGCAGTGCCCTCTCAAGAGCTCGCACGCGTCCCGCATTGTTGTCTCGTGTTCCGGGGCGTTTAGCACGCGGAATTTCGCGCTCTTGCTTTCGCCAATGACACTAGACTGACAAAAACAACCCCGCAGCGGCTAACAGCGGCGCAGAGGGTTCCCGGACCGCGGCGGCCGGCCGGCCGACAGCCCCCAAGGTGTACATAACGAACGGAGCGATCGACAAAAACTCGGGTCGGTAGTGGGGCCCGGCTTGGTCGGAGGCGGCGCAGCGAGCCGCCGCCTTCAAATGGGTTCTCCAACCTTTTGGCCATTACCATATTAACAGGGGCCGCACCATAAACACTGGCTAGGCTGCGGCGTATCGGCTTTGTTTCGGCCGACCACTGCACTGGCTGGCCACGGGCAGACTGGAGTTCGGTGGACTTGAACTAGCAGTTAACTGGCAGAGAACGGGCAGTGCTGGCGGCAAGCTAGCTTTGAGGCGAACCCCCAAACTTAAGGATGCTCCAATTAGATGGTTGCTAGATACCAATTATATACTTTTTTCGTTAATTCGATAAAGCTGCATCGTATGAGCAGCGGAATATGAGCAAATAGTGCTGATATGTGCCCGTTTATTCCGTCCTCCAGCAGGTCCCCATGGGATCATCCCAGGGAAAATTCCGAAGCGTTCCTCTGCTTCAAATGTTGATAACATGCACCGACGAAAGTTAGTCTGCCAGGTGAGACAGCAGGGGGCTGTTTGGGCGCGCCTTTCACTGTGTCGGATTTAATGTGAATGTCTGAAAGGAATTCGTGCTACACTGAAATTTGCATCTGTTGTGTTTTATCTGCACTTTTACGCTTGGATTATGAGTATTTTTATACTTTTCCCAACGACTGATAACCTTTCAAAACTTTCCACCATGTTCTCTCAAACAGAACGCTATGCTAAAAAAATCACGCTTGGAGGTTCAGAGAGCTAAGTAACGGTGAGCTACATGATCGATAGATCGGAGCCGAACACTGCTTTTATAATCCCGGATGCACGTCCCAGTCGATATAGATCTGTAGAACAGCGACGGCATGACAGGCGACAGCGTGAGCTGAACTGGGGCAGGCAGCTGACAGGCAGCTGGCTGACAGGTGTGGTGATTCGTGTCTGAGTATATCGCTGATGACAGAAGACTGCCCGATGTGACGTCTGAATGAAGGCTTGATGCCACAGACTTGACACTTCATATTGTTGATGATTGCTGACTTCAAAGTTACATTATCTGACTAGTGAAAGCAGTCACTGGTAGCCTGCCATCGCTGCACATACGAGATGCTCCCTGTTGAATAGCTTTGATGCTGACAACACAGTCAACAACCGGGCTCATTTCGTGTTACTGACCTACCAGCCTTTGTAGGCGTTTTTCGAAAGTGTTTCGGTTGCTGAAATATACGATGGGCTGGTGTTTTTATTTTCCACTGTAACCAGTATCTGTTTCTGCCTTCCTCAGGTGCCCGTCATAGCACGAATGGTCTGAAGGGGACTGTGATCGCCCCTCACCCGACAGAGCCGCTGAGCTCCGCAGCTCACACAGCTCCACGACAGAGCAGTGACCAGCTCGTGAGCCAGCCGGAGCTGAGCTGCCCAAGCCTCGGCGGCTTCGGGCCCAGCCATGAAGTGTTTCGGAGCCAAAAATAACACCTATCACTGCAAAATAATCCTACTGGACGATCAGGAGCTCATACAGGAGATACAGGTAAGTTAGAGCTGTGCAATTTTCTCAAATAACAGCCACCATGTAACACCATGTGACCGTAACTTGAAGTAGGTACTGGACAAGGGCATTTGTACCTATTAGATTGCCTACATAGTTATCATATACATTATACATCTGCCTATCTCCTCCGCTCGCAGACCATCGCACGGTCTTGCCGAATACCAGATTAGCGCGAATTTAATCAAAAACCCGACTTTCGATAAACTGTTATTTATACCTATCAGTGGGTAGGAAATTGTCTGAAGTTATCGGATAGAACCTTATTTTTAAGCCACTTTACCATTTGAGGACTTATATCCCTGCCGAAAGTAGACCCACGCTCCGGTTCCTAAAATCGGGCTATGGTACTGATAAATATGTCCAGTTTTCAACGTAAATTTTACGGAAGTTTCGAGAAGATATATGAGAAAATAGCATATCACTGGATAGCACAATTCATGATGAAGCTGTTTCTGCTATCATTGTAGCTTTTCAATGCATGGTTTTTGAGTTTAATGAGTTACAACAAGAGCCCTGCATGTGCATCGTTCTCACGATAGTATTTAATAAAGAAGTTGAAAAATGTCAAAATGGATAAAAATGGATATGACGAATAGGGCATGGCTGAACTCATCGCACCTTTCTGAACATAAGCGAGCAAGTTTCAGCTGCCAGTTTTTGCCTATTTGCCGTCAACTCAGCTTTGAACATGTCTAGTCGGCCGCCCTATGTGACCTGACCAAGGTCGGGGGCGGCGCGGCCGGATAGGCTCCAGCCTAATAAACTATCTCAAGCACACGAAATCGTGATTTCATGCACTCCTTGCAAGGTCCGATGCTTCACTTATGCATTGTTGGTCTTACGTGACGTCATTTATGACGTCACTAGGGTAATAAGAGTTTTTCGTCAATAACTCCCGATTAAATTGAGCTAGCGAGTCGAGAAAGCCACCAATGGACTCAGGAAGACTTGCCGAATCGAATGATACGCGACATGACCTCCTTCAACCAACTTCGTGATCTGGAGGATTCTGACCTGACCTTGACCCAAGGTCAACACCTTAAGTTAACTTCAGCCGAACAAAAAGTATACCATTCGACGCGCCTGAGTGAGGCGAACATGATGATACCAAAATTGCGGCTCTGCGGCATTTTTTCGCGAAGTTATTAATAAAAAACGAATCCGCGCCTGGGTCACTTGACCTGACCTCAGAGGTCACAGGTTGGCCTGAGACCTTAAAATCGGATACCAGTCGCTGCGTCTCGTAACGGCGTACACGCTCGTTTTTTTTTTCCGCGGGGCTCTAGCTCCATCAGGGGCGAAACAGCGACGGGGGTCGTACCCCCCCCCCCTTCGACCGGCGCGTATTTTGAAAACCAATAAGTCCGGCGAAAGGTAAGTGTCAGTTTTGGAACCAGAGAACCATTTTCAGTGGATCCGAGCGGCGCTGGGATTAAATTCGCGCTAAACTGGTGTTCGGCCACACTGTGCATCGTACAGACCATGTCTCTACATTTGTCATCAACAATCGCACTGATTTAGAGGAAAAGTTCAGTAGTTACACTTGTTACTGAAGTGTTCAACTATACATGACATTTCTGATTCAATTAACGTTTACGACAATCCCTCGCACGCGGCGTTATATTTCCACCAATCAGCAGTTCCCGGTATTATAAGCTTGTTTCGCGTTGCGTGTCTCGTGCTGGACATGCCAAGGTGAGACATAATTAGTCGTTGTCTCAGCCGCACACATTTTTGCGTCTAATGACTGCCAAAAAGGGCCATGGGGAGTCCGTGACCGGTGTTCCAGAGGGTACGACTCGCTTTTATGGCCGGTCCACTGGGAAACGACCTCGTTGACTGCTGGCCAATTTCGTTAGCTGCCGACCACCCTCGCGACAGGTGCGGTATAGCGGGTCTAGAAGCTGCAACTGCTGCGGCCGCTCCATCTCGACCAGATGAGAGTAGGGCTGACACCGCCGTTTCAACTTAATCAAAATGTTTTTTATTGTATATGGAGCACTCAGGTAGAGCTTCCAACTCAGTTTTTTACGATTTACAAGTTCCAATGGTATAGTGTGCTGCGGTGATGATGTTTGCCCACGCTGGGCTGCTGGATGGTTCGCTGTTGCCGTCCCCTGTGGCACACATACCGCATCTGACACATACGAAGCGTCAATAGGCTGTAAATTGGCGGTCACGCCTGTTCCCAGATGACTGTCCGCGCGGCGTCATTAACTCAGAGACCGCTGCCCGAGCCACAATCACCAAACAGCTTCATGACGCGACGGACCCGGACCGCCTGCTTCAAAATACCACCGAATCAGTGACTGCTCAATGGTTGACGACGAGAGCTAACGGTCCTCTTTTGAGCAAGCCGGCATATAGGGGCGACTACCAAGGAAAATGTTGGCATAGGAATGCGGGCGCGGCGGCAGACTGCTCGCTTCCCGTCCAATTCACACGGCAGAAGCCACCGCTAGCGTCAAACCAGTGGAGACTGCGTCTGGGAACAAAACACTAGCGAGAGACCGCTGCGGCGACCAAAGCACCATCCTCACAGGTGCGACAGGTGGCCGGCTCGCCTCATGACTGCCCATTCTCGGCATGTGTATGATAGCTACAAAGAACCACCTCATCTTCTGTGATGGACGACTGCAAAGAACCGTCTCATCAGCGCTCAATTACGGAAATAACAGAGTGGTCGCGACTGGTGGCACATTAGCGGTTCGCCGTACTTACTTGCACATCGCTGTGTGAATCCCGTCTCTCTGTACCAGTGATCTCCAGTCCTCCCCTCCTCTCTCTCTCTCTCTCTCTCTCTCTCTCTCTCTCTCTCTCTCTCTCTCTCTCTCTCTCTCTCTCTCTCTCTCTCTCTCTCTCTCTCTCTCTCTCTCCCTCCCTCCCTCACCATCCTCGGTGTGCCCTGCGGCCGGCGCGGGGCGGCGCCGGACTTTCGGCCGGTGCCGGTCATCTCAGGGGTGCGTCGGGTTCAGGCTGACCTGCCCTGAGGGCATCATCTCCGCGTCTATATCGCCGCCGGCGCCGCCTGATCGCTCTATTTTTCCGGGTGCGGAGACTCGGCGGTGGCTGTGGGCAGCCATTAGCTGCGCGAACGGCTAGAGGCGGCGGGCGGGCGGTCGGCGGCGGGCGGCGGGCAGCGATCGGGCGGGCGGGCGGCGAGCGGGCGGGCGGTGGCCCGTGCGCCGCACCGGCCGGCCGTTTTATTAGCCTTTGTGTACGGCCGGCGTCACCCCGGCCATTGGCAGGTTTACAGCACCGGGAGGCCGTATATCCCGCGACCCGCTGAACTGGAATGTGTCAGCGGCGAGTGCCCTCCCTCTGAGGGGAGGGAGGGAGGGGGAGGGAGGGACAGGTATCGCCTCGACGGGACCTCCGCCCCCCGGCGCGGCGGCCGCCCATTTGTACGGCACTCTGTCGCCGCCGAGCCGGGCGGGCTGGCGATGGGCCGATCGGTCGCTCTCTCAGTCCCAGTGATGCGACATCCCCGGCCGACCGGACGTGAGCGCCCATTAGCGACTTGAGCCGCGACCGCCCGCCTCGTCCGGCCGCGCTTCGGCTCGTTTCAGGTTGACAAATTCGGCCACACCTCAGCGGCCAGTGTCAGCGTGGCGCGCCGGCCGGTCGTTTGGCCGATTGACTTTGATCGGCCGACGGCGGCGGCAGCGGGCCCTTCGTGTGCCGGGCGGCCAGAGTGCCGGCTGCAGGGGCGTTTTAATCTCGGTTATGGCCGCGGTTGCATGCAGCGCCGACGCGCGGCCGCTCCGCCGGCGCTCCGGTGCCGGGAGATGTGTAATTTGTCCGTGGATACGGAGCGCCTCGGGCCAGCCGGCCGCCGGTCATGGCCCTGGCGAGCCGTCCGGCCGGCCGCGCGGGCCGCGAGCCAACGGCCGGCGCCGGAGAGCAGAGGCGCAGACCGCGCGCTCCGCGGAGCTGAACGGGGCAAATTATTGAACCCAGTCGAGTGGAGCTAAGGCGGAGCTGAGCCAAATTAACAGGCGCTCAGCCGACCTCAGCGGGGCTCAACCAGTCCGAGTCGGTATTTATTGGTATCAGCCCGGTAACCGGTTTCGGCGGGTGTAACAAATCTCCCCAATCGGCCGCGCACTGTCGTGTTCTGTCGGAAATCAGTCGTCACGCTCGCCGGTCAGCTCTCTCGGCGGTGCACAGTCACGGCGGACGGCGCGACGCCGGAGACCACGCTCCCTCCCTCCCTTTCCGATCGTGATCGGGTGGAGAGCGACCTTCCTCCGCGCGGGCCTCTCATTACCTACGGCGCCTTCTGCCTGTAATTACCTGTTACCATTGCAAATTCTATTTTCCCTTTTCTTGTGGTCTGCGCTCTTCTCCCACTTTTGCATATCTCTCGTGACCCAGACTTCAGGCTTACCTGTTGGTTTGTCAGAGCATGCTGAAGCTCGTTGCCTGTTTACATGTTACCCTCACAACGCACCTGTCAACGCACCTGCCACCCGTCTGGCCGCCTTGTTTCACCCCATCTCTCATGCCAGTCCTTTGGCCTTGGTAGGCAGATTGCAGAGCCTCCTGCTACCCATCCCATTACCACCTCATCCACGGCTGTCCAACACGGCACCGTAGCGACATTTGTCAGCCGACTGCGCCCCGTGACTCCGTGGCGACACATGTCATGGGAGAGATGGCGTGTGTTTGCGTCACTCATCTCGCGATTACCACACAGGCCGTATCGGGAAGACACGCGCGTCAGGCGCCGCATCTGCGGCGTAGCGGCGGTGGCATATCTCCATGCCTCACGCGCGTGGCACGCACGCTCCAAACACGCGCTCTGGGACAGGTGCGGAATGCGAGATGTGAATTTAATGTGATGGCGGATTCGTCTCAGACACCCAAAGCGGTTACCTTAGGGCGCGGGAGGATCCAAAGGGTACGAAGAACAAGGGCAAGAAGGTGATTTTGGGGCATACCAGCGGCGATCGTTAGGAATCTGGGATGGGCGGCGG